CTGCATTATTTTGTCCTGTACTAGATTCAAGTTCTCACAACCCTTGGCACTGTTGCGCCTGCCTTTCCGTTTTTTAGGTGTAGTATATCCACTCTCGGAGCCACTACCATCGTTATCGGCCCCTTTGCCTACGTAGCCATTTGTGATGTAGCTGGAATTATTGGTCACCACGCCGTTTGGAATAGACACTCCCTCTGGCTTGTCTGAGGACTGGTTTTCTCTGTGTTTGTTTTCGTAGGACTTCTCATTCTTTTTGTCCATGCTATTTTTCTGAATGAAGTTCTTGGTTTTGATTCCAGCTTTCCCCAAAGCACTGGCCTTCACAGTCTGCTTTGGGGTGACATTAGAATCTACGAGCTGCTGGCTGCCATTGGGTACCCTGGATCCTGGGGCGGTGGCTTCATCAGAGCACAGGCCCTTTAGTGACACTTCTCGTTCTCCTGCGTTACCATTTAGCTCTCCGTAGCCTAGAGGGAAGCCAAAAACAGCAAAAGGCAAGAATTAGAATGTGAAATGTTAGACTTGTCATTGCAGAAAGCTGCAGTCAGCCCCAAACATATCCAGTTTCCTCATGCAGACATTTTAAAATAGGAAAATATCTAGTCTCTGAGGTAAAGCTGCATAAATTTACTTGCTGGAACCCACAGCAAGAAGGGTTAAGCAGGAAGGACCAGCCAAGACTGACTCTCGCATAACTGAGTGACAGACAGATAACATAACAAAGCAAAAGAAAATACAGATACTATGCCAGGAAAATATACTGTACTGAAGATCACTGGCAAGCTGGAAAGCTATTTCATCAGCTACTATTTCCAGGTCACAGAGAGGAAAAAATTAATTCCCAGGATGCTTCAAGACAGCGGGATCCACTGCCTTTGTGACAAGATCTGTGGAGGTTCAGGATACACGCTGTGAACAAGGGACAACTCCTACCATCCCCATCAGCTCCTGGGCCTGCAACACCAGCAGTCCTCCTTCCCACCCTCCCAAATGCCATCTCAGTTAAGGGGTGGGGAAAAAAAAAAAAAGCACAGTATTTCCAAAAGGACATGTGCAAGTCCAGCTGGAAGATGCAGGGAAGAAAATGTGGCCACATCTCCTCAGTGCATTTCAGGATAGCAACCAGCACCTCCCTACACGTGCTCTTTAGCAGTGGGAAGGTGACAGAACTAAGAAATGCATCTCTGCAAGCGCCCTTCTGCTGCCACCAGCAATGGGTCTCTTGACCACTGGAAAACCTGTATTTCAGAGTCCCCAGGAGAGCTGAGACCCAAGAAATAAAGTACTTTGTGAGGGCTCCAACTCATAAAACCATAAGATTGTGCTGTAAACTGGGCTTTCCTCTTTCCTTCTGAAGTTCACTTCCAGGCCTTACAGTTCTGGGAGCTCAATTCAAGCAGAGCTGGAAGCCCAGGACAGTCCACACTGAACCACCCCAACTTCCTCTTTGCTTTTTCCTTTTTGAACACCTCTGGCCAGAGGCCCGCTGCTTTCGAGGACCTGGTAAAGCCCCAGGAGAACCCCTGGAGCCCCGGTGGAGACGGGGAGAGCACACTGAGCCCTGCTCCACAAACACGCTCCAGCTGCAGAGGGATCCCTCCTGCACCCGCCGCTCCTCTGACTCATCCGTCCTCCTTGCCGAGGCTGGAAAGCCTCACATCCCCCACGGCCACTGACCCACCTCAGGCTCCATCTGCAGCCACGGTGGCACGGAGTCAGCACTGAGAGGGAGTCCCTCAACGACTGGAGCGGGCAAAACTCCAGCTTGGAAGAAGAATGTTTTTGTTGTTGCTGATGTTGTTGAAATTAACTGCTGTAACTAAAAATCATTGTTACCCTCACATCCTGGAGCCTCAGATGTCTGGCAGATGTAACAGCTCAAGTTCTGTGCAAGTCGGGAACACAAGAATCCTTGTAGGAATCTTTACAGAAATTCCACAACTGAGTTTGCCGAGGGGGATCAAACAGGATTTTACTACATGCAAGGATCTGTAACCACCACAACTTTCACTATAACTTTCAAAGATGTTGTTAAGAAAATTAACCATAAATACTTCACCCCAGAGAGAACTAGAACGGTGGGATCCTCTAAAATTAAGTATTTCGGAATAGCATGAAGAGGAAGCCCTCTCAAGAGCAGTGTTACAGCTGACCTTGTATGACTCAAGACTTCTGACACCACTTGTTAATGAAACCAAACAATAAGAGTGGTCATAAGACCATTGCAGATGAGGAGTGAAAGAATAAAATGAAGAACAAAATCCATTTCAGTAAGTCAGTGTGTCAGCAGTTTCTAGTTCCAATTCTCAAGCATTCACAGCTCAGCTGCCTGAGTTTTCTCCAAATCAACATTTGGCACAGCTGGCCTTGGCCTGGACAAGGAGGTGCAGCAACCAAAATTTAGGGGAGAGGAAAAAGCCCAGAACGGTAAGAACAGGTGAAGAGGCTCTGGCAAGCTCACAAACCGTTTCAGAGCTGGGAAGGGAGGGGTGCCAGCTTAGGCACATATTAAAACCCTGGGCTCGCTGCAAACAGTGAAATGACTTCTCAACTTATTTTTGCTCGGTAACTTATTTTAGCGTGTGCCCGATCAGGTCGCCCCCTCCCTGCCCAGGCTGCACACGGGGCACTGCCGACCCCGCTCTGCTGCTACCAGGCCCCCTCCCACCTCCCGCCTCGTTATGTAAAAGGAAAGTTCAAGGGAAAGAGAAAAAAAAAAAAAAATGTACGCGGCACTCCGGCCGGCTGGCGGCCCCGCACTGGCCTTGACCCGGCACAAATCCCCCCCAGAGGGATTGCTGGAGCCGGGGAGCCCCCCAGGAACGCGGCGAGGGCTCCGGCCCTGCCCGGGATCGGCTCCCCCCGCGCTGCTAACCGGCCACCGCCTCTGCGGCGCTGCCGCCCGGCCAGCGGCGGCTCGGCCCGGCCCGGGGGCCGCAGCCCCAGCCCCGGTCCCGGCGGGGAGGAGGCGGCCGA